CTTTGATTACAGTATTACAATACACATGGTGGGAGGTTATGTTAGAACAGTGGTTTCACTAATGTATTAAAAATCATGTAGTTTAAATTTATGTTAAAACACTACTTTGATTACAGTATTACAATACACATGGTGGGAGGTTATGTTAGAACAGTGGTTTCACTAATGTATACACCTGGAAAAAAGTTAAGCACCCCCAAATATTTTTCAGGATTGCTTATTGAAAATAAGGTTTAATTTTCATGATGTTGAGCAATGTTCATAATTTCAAACATAATTAAAAGGATGTGAGCATTCAGGTGTGACATTTAAATCAGGCGCGTTTTTTTCCCCACGTGCAACTTGCTCCCTTCTTCACGTCCAATATGCACTATTTTCTCGTGCATAAAATCCGTATTTAGGTCCCGATTTTCTGAATGCAAAATCATTTTAAGTAAGAATGGCAAGAAGACGGATATCAGAGGCGCAGAGATGGCAAAATATTGACATGAATTCCGCTGGTATGTCCTACAAGGCGATAGGTAGACAGCTTGGCTGTCATTACACAGTGATCAGCCGTTTGGTCAGAAAAAATGTTGCCACCCAGAATGTTAAGGACCGTCCTCGATCTGGTCGACCATCTGTAACAACCCAACGTGAAGATAGAAGCCTTGGTAGATTGGTCAGACGAAATCCGTTTGCAACAGGCACCTGTCTTAAAAGGCAGTGGTTACCTGGTCGTAATCTGTCAACCAGAACAGTAAGAAATCGTTTAAAATCTGCGGGACTGAAGTCAAGGAGAGTCATAAAACGCCCGACACTTGACGATCGCCATCGCAGGGAGAGGTTGGCCTGGTGCAGAGCAAGGCAGAACTGGAACCTTCAAACACCTTCAATACACTGGTCAGACGAGAGTAGATTTTTACTCCACGTAACTGATGGTCGAACCCGTGTTTGGAGGCATCGTAACGCAGCTTACACTCCAAGAAATATTCTTCCAACAGTGCCTTTTGGTGAGGGCTCAGTTATGGTATGGGGCTGTGTCTCGCATGATTGCAAGCTGGATTTGGTAACAATCAATGGCAACCTTTCTGGCGAAAAG